GTCAAATGGTGCGAATAGATAAGTGCACAATTACCTCGATTTCTCTTTGATATTGCCTCTTTGCAATTCTGTTATTGAAAACTAGTTTAGAATAAAAAAAATCGAGTGATGCTTTTATGATTTTGAGCAAACAGGTGGTAAGATTTAATGTGTTTCTTCCTTAGAATTGAATGGGGGCTATATGAGGGCATCCGTGTGGTACGAAAGAACCATACCATATCAATTATTCCTGGCCAAGGCTATTTATAAATTCGTACAAAATAGGGGATGATCTCTCAATCTTATACGCCGCAAAAAAATGCATATAAATATTTTGCTTATCTGTTGACATGATTGGCATGTGTGTGTGTGTGTGTGTGTGTGCGTACGTTTTAAGGACAACCTTACATTTATATAAATCCTTTTGAAAGTTTCGATAAACGATTTTGACGTATAATGGTTTCATTTTTTGAAAGTTTTTTTTACTGTGTTAGAATGATATTGGCATCCTTATCTAACCATAAAGCGTCGTTCTTCCAGATTACTATATTTAGATAAAGAATTGATAGTCTAGTCTTTTCTGTTTTTTTTTTTTTTTTTGAAAACAGGTCTTTGTGAATGAATCGATTTAAGGTATCTTTTTAGTTTAAATTTCATGTCTAAAATAGCACATTGGCAAACTATAAAAAAATATTCTTGCCATTTGGACATGTTTTAAATAGAAGAAATAACAGTGGGGTTGAAAAAAAACGGTAGTCAAACAGACACGTATGTCTATTGTCTATATTAAGACGTCTCTATATATTGTTAAACTACTGGGTATGTTTATTACATGTTGAACAGCAGATCCTGTGGTTATTAATGCTTGAATGAAGGTTTTCATTCAAACAAATCCGCGGATAAGTTATGTTATCCACTTTTTATTAAAGGTGATGAAATTGTAACAGAGGAGGCAGAGGAGGCAGAAAGCGGTGGATCTGAACACTAAATCCCGACCCGGACCGGTGGCCCATGGCTAAACTTAGAAAGATTAGACGACCATGAAGTAATCTCAGAGATCTTTTTATCCTATAGAGTAACTGTGTTTTTCATTAATCTTCTGACATTACATGTACATGTAGCTGCGACGACGTGGTGGCAACTCTATATGTTTTTCATTGACAAGGAATCATATTAGTCCTCTGAGTGTTGGTCGGCAGGGGACGACTTTCAACATCCATGACATGACCATTGCTTCCAGCAGGTAATGAAGCATTTTTGTAGATATGGGTTGTGGGACAAAATAAGATATCCACATCGTGTCTAAAAAGGTATATCTGAAGGGGAAATTGAACATCTGACCAATGATACAGCTTGGTGTATTTTTACTTCTTCAGCTACATAACATCAGCAGCGATAAACAATTTCTAGACAGTTCGTCAAAAAAGTACAATATATAATCGTTTTGGTCAGCAATTTTGTAACTATGTTGATTCGACATGTTAGCAGGCTGTGTATTGCTCTCCTATAGTAGGTGCTATACGTCGAACAAGGGCCAGTCACCGGCCAGTGCCTGCACTACGTACATGCTGTTCAGATACCCTGTGGGAGAGAAAACATGTCCGCCGGAATGAAGGCCAGTCACTTATTGTTAATAATTGATGTCTGCCGAACACTAGATCCATGCCTATCCCAGAACTTCATTTCTCAGGAGCAAGTGTCTGCCGGACGTCCATTTTATGCGTATTTTATTCCTACATCGTGGATATGGAGTTCCAGTAGACTGCCAGGAAATTGTTTTTTAAGGGGGTAAAATGAATTAAGGGGGTATAATGAGAATAAGACATTCGTGAAAATGCTTTTATCAATGAAGTTTATATCTTATGTCTGAAAAAGTGAAAAACACCAGAAAAAAGTTCATCTTTTTCTTTTATTACCCAAGTTTTCTTATTTTTTGATAGGTCAACTTATGATGAAGTTACTTTTTGAAGAATTATACCCTGCGCCCTTAGATTTTGGTTCCTCCGGATTGGACATTACGTTCTAGGGAATGTATGTTTGTCTTTCTTCTGGCCATAGTTTCCAGGGAATCCTATTGACATGCGTTGCTTTCACACCTGTCAAAAATGTAATGTTATTAATGCATTTAATTTCTTCTGGATTCGCTATTCGCTTTTTGCATTTGAGTTCGATGACAAGGACGCATGTCTATTAACGTATTGTCGATTTAATTATTAGTGTTGTTTTTATGTTGTTCCAGTGGCTCATACCAATAAATGACAAATTTCAGATAAAATAAAAATAAAAATATAAGTCAATAAAAGTGAAATTTTAAATGGTTGTTTTAGAGTAACAGCTGCAATGTAATATTAATTAAATTCGAGTTTTAATGAGATACACTTAAGTTACAAGCCCCAGATGACTTGATTCCTGAAAGTCCAATTGCCCGAAGGGATGCCATGTAATTTTAAACAACTTAGCAGCTTTTAATAGGCAACAGATGTCTGACTTTCTGAACTACGCTAAATGTAGCAATATAACATGATGACGATATATATATATATATATATATATATATATATATATATATATATATATATATCAGGCAGTTCTACACGGCAACAGTACAAATTCAGTGAATCGTTATCCTCACAGAATAACGCAATATCGACAAAAAGAGCGATGAAATACTATCATTTGTCATCTGATACTACTTTATCTTAATATATGTACATGCACAGTGTGTTAAACGTGATTCAAACCAATTACGAACGTGATTAACTTAGTGTCGCCTCAAGATATACATAGTAATGCGTTATCTTATTCAGCAGATTGGAAGGCCAAATACTGATTGCAAGAGCGTTGGTTTGCTTAAAATAAGTTTGACCAAGGATATTCTGATTGAAATTACTTGGTTTGTACAATGGCCCGTACACTTAAAAACAATATTAGGCATTTTATTAGATAAAGTAGAGTTGATAGTGACATACACATTAACCTCCGTGTCACTTTGCTCTGGACTTTTTGTTGATATGAACTTACAGGAATTCAAACTGACGCGATATACTTATATGATACCCATAACCACAAATGCTTCATTCTCAACAATGCTATTTCTACAATATGCTGTTAATTATGCATACAATGCTTTTTGGGTAATGAATAAATGACTAGCCGATAAAAGCTGTCTGAGATTTTACGGACTTGCCCTCTCTATTCATAGTAGTGACGGCAGTTTTTTTCTCACACATAATAAGCTATCTGAAGCAGTATGGGACTAGGATTGATGAAATCTACTGATATTATGTTATATAACACATTACCAACACATTACCAATCGTCGAATACTTAAAATACACGCAAACCCTGTGTAAGTACCAAAGCTAAGATAGTTTCTTCCAAAATTTCTTATAGATAGTAATATTGTGTACGTTAACACCAGAATTGTACAATAATATTAGATCTAGATCAGTCCAGGCAACAAATTATTTGCTGTGATTAACATCAACCCCGTTGATTATTATCGTGTTAAAATTTCCTAAATGCACATCAGAAAATGTAGCTGGGACAGGGTTTTAGGCCCCTTGGACTTACAAGTGGAAGCGCACAGCTATGACAGACACAGAGGATGGCTTTTTGTACAGCCACGCTTTGTTGGTGCATAATTAAACGCGCAGTGGTTCACTTTTTATGCTCATTTAAGAACGGGATTGCAGTGATCTGATTAAATGACTGTCCAGTGGACGGGTCATACAGGGGTTAAGTATGAAATAACACCTGTCTGAGCTCTTCTTTGAGGGACTTTATCACACCACTTAATATTGCACTTAGAAGATAACGAAAGATGAATGATGATGAGCAAACTGCTGTCCTTAATTGAAGCTCAAAGTCGGTCTTCAAGGAATATTTATAAGTAATGTTTGAGCGCAAGTTAAATGAAAGAGGGATTTAGTCAATAATTGCACATATCAATACGATATGGGGCCCCTCACTTCCATTCCTGGTACTACCTTTCCTGTCACAACGGTGTACCGAATATCGTGGTAACAAGTTATATGCTAAATGCTGCTGGTCAGAAAGGCGGCATTTTTGTACAATTATTGACCTTAGCCGAGATAATGAAAAACAGCATATTCACCAAGGGGATGTAAGTATATAGACTATATACTTCCATGCTAAGAGCAAAAGAAAACAGTTGTTTTATTATATAATTTGATACCCGTCAATGTCCTCAAAGATAACATCAAAACTTGACAACATCGCTATCACCCGCCATTGTTGGCGTCTGACTGATAATAATTGCTTCTCACCCGATTGGTAGAAATAAATCGGGAATAGCAATGGCGTATGTTATGTTACGACGTTTTCGGTTAATATTGAGTTTGTCAGACCTCGAATTCCGAGATATAATATCATTACCTATGCCAAATATGTTATAGTTTTCGCACCAAAATAACGTTCTTGGTTCTGTACTTCGTATTGTATATTCTACGGAGGTTTTACTTATTTCTCTACTCAAAGATAGCATTCTATCCGAACATGAAATGCTTCAAAATGAAATTTACTGCTCTCTTGGTTCGAAAGATTGTTATTAAAACGTCTTTTTTTTTTTTTTTAGAGAAAACCCGATATTGCAGACATGAGAGATCAATGGTCATTAAATATCATTGTCTCTTACTTGGCCAGAATTGTAAATTTATTGACGTGTCACGGATGATTAAAACTTGTATATAATCTTTTTATAACTATCGTTATCTCACGACCTGCGCTTTGAATGATGGGATAATTGCACTTATTTTTCGCTCACACGCTCGCCTTCACTTTGTGCGTTCATCCTGTTCGAAGCGCAAGTCGAGGGATAAGTTCGTTACGACTACTCGTCGTCCACTGCATGCAACATACAAGGGCAAATTGTATCCGCGACTCGATATAATTACGCTCTTGTGTGTCACATATGGTGGACGATTCGTGTTGTTCTTTTAAAAGCTGTTACTTACAACCTGGAGGCTATACACAAATAACTGACTACCTAACACTTGGACTAAATAATGACATCAATGCTTTATTTTCTAGTTTTCTTTGTAACAGGACATGTTGCACCCGCAAAAAATCCAAAACAACCTTGACGTTAATAATATGTATACTATTTTAATTAATAAAAACAAAACGGGAAAATTGTACACTTTTTCACCAACAGTTAGAAGCACGTGTTTCGACACAGTTCACTTGCTGTCTTCAGACACGGCTCACACGGTGTCAGGCAGAGTAGAATATCAAATAATTTCTACAGGTCCAATATTTGTTTTATATACATCCTGGGTTATGGTGTGAAGAATATATAAATCAATACAACTTCCATATCTCTGGATACACGCCCTGTGTATGGTGTCCCAGTGAAACATTACAGCACACATGCAGTAAGTAGGTGGCTTTACAACTTTATATGGGCAATTTTTACAGTTATACATGTACAGTTGAGTGACCTGTATCTTCTTATGACTGTTACACAGGACATTTGTACACACGAAATGACCCAACCCAGCTTATTTGCTGTCCTTTACAATTACTATGTCCATATTCTCTTTGAATTCAATCATCTCTAACTTGGTCAGAATTGTAAAAACTGATTGACCTGACATGGATGATCAAAACATGTATAAAATCTATTTATAATTACTTATGGATTGTAAAGCTGTCTTTGTGAAAAGGGTATTCTACTGGCCTTATCAGACATTTACTCTTAACAATGTTTGTGCTGTGATACCAGAATAAAAAAGGAATAAAAACGAAAGGGGGGAAAAGCAATGCTAATTGTAATACCTGCATGGATAAAAAAAATTCAAAGTGCAATTGGGAAAAAATAAAGGAATTAAGTGCAACTTACCAATAAATAAATAAATAAATAAATAAATAAATAAGACAGGAATTGGCACAATATTACAAATTCCCTTTAGTTAGAAAGACTTCCATGTTTGTAGGTATTTCCATGCAAGTGTGAGATGAACATTGCATGCTTGGATACATTATGACCTTCTCCCAGGGGTCTATTTCATTTTTCGGTCTTTTTATAAATGTGGCCTTTCTATATGAATTACAGAAAGGTAATAACCTGGTTAAAACCCAATACTTATCAGAAGTAATGTATTTGACTCTCCCGCCAGATTCAAACTACTGGTACAGCAATGCCATGTTTCAAGTCAAGTCAGGTCCCACTCATCTCAGTTACGGTACATGAAGTTACTTGCCTCATCAGATATTATCCTGGAATGAGCTGTACTGAGCAATAATCCAGATTTACAGGAAACATGGCCCTATATTACCTGGACAGAATTACTACAGTGCCATACATGAAAGGTCCAAGATAAAATTGCTGTATCAAGAAATCTCTCTGACTGAAAAGTAGGCCTAAATAACTGAAAAAGATACTATACAGGGTACAAAACATGTCATGCCATCCAGTTAACCTTATGATACTTTGTCTGTAGCCAAACTGTAGTTCATTAGCTTTGAAAGACATAGAAAAGTTTGTGTCCATCCCACACTACATCACTGATTTAACCATAATTTACATATGTGGGGTAAAAATACATTAACATATACATTGTATTATTATTCACATGGGATAGAGAGGGCTGCAATTTTAATCCTGAGTTGAAATATTTCAATATGTAATACATTGTACACTTTCTCAATACATGACTTAGATTTGTAGTCTGAACACAGCGTACTGCTAAATAGCATGGATGTTGCTTAACAAGTTTGTCAATATTTCATAAATTTGTAAACACAAACAACATTCACATTTATTGTTAGCTCCAGAGAATAGTAAGGATACTCATGCCATCTGTTGTTACTGTATTACTATTATTCTGCAATCTTTGCCTTATTCTTTGCCTGGACATTAGATCATATGTATACAACAGGCACGTCCTTCAAAGCCATTTCCACACAGCAATGCTTCCTAAATTTCTGCTTGTGTGAGGTTAAATTCAAATTCAAACAATACTGTGCATTCTTAAGAACACTGTGATGTTAGCAGACTATTGATAGACTCTAAGTGTTGTACTATATTTATCACTCCTATTCTAGCGAGTTCACTTCCTTGAAATTGCTGCAGAGAATTTCTGTCCACATTGATTTTACCAACAATTATCACAGTGCTGAGAAACACTGCTGAAAGGAGTACATGTACTTGTGGTGCCTACATTGTGAACATCGCTATGTATACAGCACTGCAGACACCAAAAAATATTATTAAAGGCAACCTCACACATGGGTCTTCCTTGTAACTATTCCTAATAGATTTAGTTTTGGGAGTTCATTAATACACCTACATAAACATCACTTTTAAAATATAAGCTAATATCAATCAATTCTGCTGACAAGAATATGTACATATTATCAAAAACTAAATAGAACTTCGTACATCTGACATCTACATTAATATCAGATTTTTGGCTGGCTTGCTAGGATTGACTGTTGATGTTTCCTGTTATATTTACAAGTTTGCGGATCCCACTGAACATAGTTGATTGATCCATGGCTAAACATTGGCTAATTCCCAAATAAAAACAATGGCAGAAAGACAAAGTGCCGTGTATAAGCGACCAGATTCATTTATAGAAAATCAGCAGTGCAGTCATGAGTGCAGTATATTTTCTAGAATACAATAGTGGGGTTCTTGTTTGTCTGCTTCTCCATCAGGAACATAAAATCTTGGAATCCACTGTTGGGGTAAAAATACATTTCTCCATTTGAAAAAAAAACTGCTCTCTTTTACATAAACCACATATCACCAACAAAGGGAATATCCATTTAAAAATGTATTTTGAACAGGTTTATATTTCACATTATCTTACACAGTAACATATTAGGAAGAAGTTTGATCTAAGTGCTATCATAACAAGCCCTGTTGGCTGTCCTCCTCTTCTGTCAACTTGCTGGGAGGCTGATGGTGTTTCTTTGTGTAAGCCAACAATGTGGAAGTGGAGGTCTGCCGAGAGACACCTAGAAAACAAGACAAAAGAAATCAATAAGGATTCCACCATGACCTGCAAATTGTGGTAGATGTGACAGTGCAGAATGTGTGTAAAATGATTGTGTTTGGGCTGGTTGTGAACATTGTGTCTGGGTGTGACAGTAACAAAATAATGAGCACATTATATGGGTGGTATCAATAGTATGAATGGCTCCATGATTCATGTAACATTCTTTATGTCAATACTCACAAACATACACAGAAACAACATTGCTGTCATTATGTCATATCTAGTATTGTATGATAATAAATGAATGGACACACCCACACTCATTATAAGCACATCCTTTCACTTTTCCTTATCCATTCATATACAACTGGCAAATGTTGACGAAAGACTGTTTAATGTCAAGTAAACTATCTTTTTAGAATGGACATGCTGGCATGATGCAAACATTTAGCCCTATGGTTACTACAAGGATCTGGGATTTATTGTAACAGACAGTAAACAAATGTCTACTATTTTTTTAAACTTTAAAACTGCCAATGAGAGCCATGCAAGGTGTTTAAAGATTCTAACTCACATCCAGCTACTGATACAAAGTTAAATTGATAAACACTCTTCGATTACACAAAGCCCCCCTCCCTTTCCCACACAGAGGGCATTCAAACAATTCTACATCTGCTCAAATCATGTTCAACCTAGGTGCTCAAACCTAAACTTTTTTTACATATGATTTTAAAAATCTATGACATATTTTAAAAGTATTTTTTTTTTCAAAGACAGTTCTCTTAGATATCATTCAATGGTCTTGTTATTGAGTCAATAAACACGCCAAAAAATTAGAAAACAATGAATTATTTTCAAATTCTATCAACAAAGGTTTATATTTGCTCAGTAAGGTGATGTCATTATTAGTCTCATGCAAAAAATAAGTATTTTTCTGTGAGGTTAAAATCAGTGTATGAAATAAAGAAATAAGTTATATGGGAATGGTATTGAATATGCAAAGTACCATTATAATTACCTTGGTTAGAGCAGGTTTTTTAAAAACAATATATTTTACATGCAAAAATATGAAAAAACTATGTTTTAAATGTGAAGGCCAATTCAATGCGCTGAAACATGTGAGTGTTTATGCTGGTTGACCAAAGCAACTTACTATACTACAAGTGAGTGACCACTGCAAAAGGCAGCAAGTACTTACGGTACTCATTTAGCCCTGCTGGAGAGTCCTGGGGCAATATTAGCAGAACAAATGAGTTAATGGATTGCACATTGATTAGGCAAGAGCTGGCTGAATTGGATTCAAGCGCTCACAAAAATTTATCCCTTTCCAAGAAAAACTAATTATATGCCATTTCTTCGCGTGAAGTTAATTAGATTATGACCCATCTGACCCGTATGTAACTTTTATATATATATATATCTCTATGTCCCACGAAACAAGTCATCAAGGTTCTAAAACTACTCCTTGTACCATTGGAGCACATGTCACTACCACAGTTATTGTACATAAAATTAAAGCACTTTATTTTTGCTTACATAGCAAAACATGCAAATGTATTGCCAAATACAAACCTACGAACTGGATAGCTAATCAAACATTCAAGTCCTCAAAACTGATAAAGGTAAGGCATTTATTTCTATAACCATTCTTGAAAAGGAGTAACAGGATATAGTGGTGTTTTACTCAGTTGAAAAAATATATTTAGAGATATATAAGTAAATCGGTCCATGATGTTTTAACAGAATGTGTCCAAGACAAATGAAAATATGAGATAAAAACATCTTTTGTCAGCTTTAATAGCATATGAAAGCTTGTGGCTAAATGAGATCTATGAACTAAGACATAAATATTAAAGCTCCCGAAAGCATGAGCCTTTAGAAATATTTTTTCATCAATGTAAGTGTCATAGTTTCCTTACATTCACTTGTATTAAATGTATATTTAACAAAGTTTGTATGCGGAATTATCTAAGGTCTGCCAGTGCCCATGATAAATGTAAACTTTTTAGGTAAGTAAATGAGATTGCTGTCACAATCCTGTCAACAGTCACAGAAATCTTACCTTTTTGGAGAGGCTTTATTTGTATCTCATCACCAGTGTTTTGATTACTTGGGGAGTCACTCTCATCCCTACTGTTTTTGTGTGTGTTTGCTGATAAATCTGAGGATGAATTTTGACGGGAATTCCTACCATCTACAGAGGGTTTCTTCTCTCCATCTGTTAAAAATTATTATTATTATTATTATAAATGTAACACAGTAAACAATTTTTGCAATTTCTAATAATTCATGAACATGTAGTATATATAAGTGCTGGGATAGCACTGACAAATTGACCACATATTAATTCCATTGGTGCTTATCTTTATTAGGACACTGATACACTGACTGAAACAGGATATCTCACTTTTAACAGATTCCTCTTTCCATCTTCTCAAATTTTCAGCTAGTGGTTGCTCCCAACTTCTCTTCAATTCATATTTTACTGAAAAATGAAAGACATGAAATATTCTTTTAAGTTGGCAAAAAAAGCTTACAGAGTAGAGTACACAATCATTCAGACTCTGCAAAGTCTTAGAGATCAGTATTTGGCAAAATACAAATCCATCTGTCTGTCAGTGATACACACAAACCTAATATACCAGAGGCTTAGTTCTTAAATGCAAAATTCTTACTTTGGAGGAACTTAAAATTAAGAACCTTTGAAAATATGCCCAAAAGGAGGAGTAAAGAAAATGTAAGAGAATCATGCGTGCAATCATAAAATATATATAAATTAATGAAAACAGTTTGGATATAGATGGCACAAAGAGCCAATGAAAAAAAATATTAGTTGAGTATGTTGCTTTATTGTACAAGTTTTTCATGGCAAGAACTAAGAATAGCATTGTGTTATTGTGGTAGGTGCACTGGAATATACATCAATGTTCTCAAGAGTTTGGAAGATTGAATGTAGCAGTTGGGCTTCAAATGTCAGGTTTGTAAAGTGGATGGGGTATGGCATGCAGATGTGGGTGTGATGTGGCATGCAGATGTGGGTGTGATGTGGCATGCAGATGTGGGTGGGTGTGGCACACAGATGTGGGTGTGGTGTAGCATGCAGATGTGAGTGCATGTCACACATGAATAAATCAGCTAGGGTGGATTGCAAATGTTGATGCACTGAGTGTCAATGGAAGGACAGTTGGAATAATGTGATAGGTATAGATGTTAACAGATAGGGAATGGTTGTAGATAGAGGCAGGCAGTTTGCACACAGAGTCTGATGGGTGTGAGTAGTATGTAAAGTGTAAGCCACTGAAATGCTATCTTTAGTGAAATTTGGAGCTGGCAGTTGCTGGCATTTGCAGCCGAGTTGGTCTGGCATGCAGAGGTGAGTAAGGGAGTCATTTACAGCTGGGTTAGTCTGGCTTGCTGAGGTGGGTATAATAAGCATACAGAGGTAGTGTGGCTGGCATGCAGAGGTGGGTATAAGTGGTACTTAGAGCTAAGTGTAACTAGTGAGAAATGGTGGGTATGAATGACATGCAGAGTTTGTGTCAATCAAACAAAAGGGTGAATTGCATGCAGAGGTGGGTGTTAGAGGCATGCCCCCACCTGTGCCAGAAAGTGAAAGACTCCTCCTTGTACTGCCTATACTGGGAGGCCTCTCACCACTACGTGATCCTCCACTTATAGATGATCCACGCCGACTCTTCTTATCTTCCTCTTCTGATATTGAGTTTTTAGGGCTCTGGCCTGTCATTTGCTTGGTAACTACCTTCTCAAGCATGTCTCCCATCACAGTGAAGCTAGGGTCAACAATGATGTTAATAAAACCTGAAAAATAGTTGACACAAATATGACTTGAAATACACATAGCAAACACAACTTCCATATATCACAACTTCCATATATTATATTATATTATATTATATTATATTATATTATATTATATTATATTATTTTATATTATATATACACACCACAAAATAAGTAAATGAATACCATAGGTCTTTATCAGTTTCATGTTAGAAATAAACACACACTAACCTATTTGTGATTCTGCTACTAATGTGTTTTCCCTGTCGCATAGTGGTGAACATGGAAGGCCAAGTTGCTTCTCCCTGTCTCCCTGTACAGGAATATGTCCAGTTAGTAACATAAAACATCATTTAGTATCTTATTACATTATTTAGGTTTAAAGTACAGGGTGTCCCAGTATAAATGTAACCCAAGAAGGTGAACACCATTTGTTTTGTGTTTGCATACTATATACAACCCATAAATTTCTGAAAACTAGAGAAGTCAGATTATCTACAACTGCAAACAATATGGCGGCAAAGATTTTATCATTTGTAGACTGTGCTCCAAATGAGCTCTGTTCTGCTGAAGGCACATTTGAATTCTATGGGCAAAGTTGTTGATGACTTCTTTTGGCACAGCTCCAATTTCTTGATCGAGTGATTACTGCTCTGGGCTGGTGTGGTGGTGGTTGTTGATATTGCATGAAACAGTATCAAACAGTTGGCCAGGACAAAATGGTGTAAGAACTATGCCACTCAGGCAATACTAATACAGTAACTTTCAAATCTCAAATACTAATCAAATGTGTTCACCTGTACAGCTGGTCAAGCACGTTCATTTACCTGTTGGAAGAACTCCTCTAACAGGAGCATTGTCCACCTGTGGTGCAAGGTCCAGTCTTTGGCTGGGTGGCTTATGTCGGCACAGTGCAGCAGTAGAGATAGGGCTTTTGGCTTGTCAATGCTGGAAATTACAGCAGTATTATCATGCTGTTGTATAAATGGACCCACATCAGTGTTATCAAATTGTGAAGATCATTATGTGATGAACAACGGAAAAATGACAAAAATACAAAATGAACCTGTGGTTGAAATTGCCATGTGTAGAATATGCAATGAATAGTGGAATAATAACAAATAATAAAATGAACGGGCAGTCAAAATTGTGTAGACTATGCATAAATTATTGATGCTGTCAGATTTGGTTCGTTGTCAATTCATGAAAAAGTTAAGCTTTGTCCTATTCATTTACAAATTATGATATCATCCTTCTTTATGATCTCTCCTACATCAAATCAACGGGCATTTTGGCATACACAGCACTGCATAATTCTTTGTTAAAATGAAAATGGTACCCACTTTTCAGGCATACTGAGTAAATTCTTCATATTTTTGATCTGCTGAAAATGGAATGACATATCAGTGGCCAGCACCATATCTATCACTAACGACCTGAAGTACCTGAAAAAGTAGACAAATAATTTATAGAAAATCTCCAGCACAGACAACCTTATATCACCCTATGTTTCAAAGAACACTGGAAACTCACCATGATGCTGATACTGAAAATGACAGGGGCATGCTGATAGCAGCTGTACGGGTGAATTTTCAGTATCCTCTAAATCTAAGGGAGTCTGGTGTTCAGTTAAAATAATATAAAGATATATTTAGCTGAAAAATATATAAAATATATGGTATTGGGAATAAAATGCTTGAAAAGCACCATTGTATAAAAATGTAAAAGCTGTATGAATAAAAATGTTTAAGATTTTGTATTAAAAAGGATGTTGGAGTATCTGAACATTTCTATATACTGCAAGTAACCAGATAGCAGAAAGTAGGCAATTATCCTTAATATGATATAGACCACTTTACTTCTCATTAGAGACCAGTCAACAACCTGACTATCATAGACCAGAAATAGATGGAGTGACAACTGACGTCATCGCACAGTAAGATAACACCAGTCAGCTTATTATGCCTAAGTTCTACAACCCAAGTTTAGCAATCTGGTTGATTAATGTAAAGTTGGTTCTGCAGGACTCAGGGAAGTCCAGCTATGAGCTAACCTAAGTCCACAGTGGCTTATTTTCTGTAAAATCAAATGGTACAACATATTCTTGGTGATGTGTGAGATGCATTAAGAAGGTACGATCTGCTGTATGTGCTTGCTCATTAAAGAGTCAGCTGGTGCAGCCATCATTCAATTTCACTTGAACAGACAAGTTAAATGGTTTCTGTTGAAGACTATTTGAAAGACATCCAAAGATTATCCGACTCACCTAAAGTCCTCTTTGGATAAATTGGACAGTACATTATTCTCTTCCTGCTTCAGCAGTCTAAATGCAGAACTCACATGATGATTCTCTAAAACTGCTCTATCATTATATAACATTGCATAATCAGACCTGAAACATAAAGACAAGACATAATTATACATCTTACAATCCACAATAACCATTGACACATACTGTAAGTAAACGGTATGGAAACTTATGATCAAAATATTCCAACCAAACCCAATTTTTACTTTTATTTCTTTCATTTTGGTATTTGCATTTTAAACCAGTGTCATGTGAGTGTAGCATATGCAAGTCATTTGATATCTTCTGGGATTCATTCGTTTCAAGACAGAAATGGACACTGTTGTATCAATACCATGGATAAAGTTCTTGAACCATGATCAATATTATGTGCACATGAACACAATCATTTTGATGGATGTGGCCAATTTAAAGAATCATGGGCTTTGAAATTGTTTTTGCTATTTCCTTATTACCTTTGCTGTATCAAAAAATATGTATGTTAACAAAAGCAATCCTAATACAATAACTTATATTTTTGTGCCTGTTGAAAAGTAATTCAAAATTATGACAACCTTTCTCTTCATGTATAAGAGCTGGCAGACACACTGGCAATTGATAATCAAAATCTATATGACATGAACCATTAATGTACCATTTATACTGGAAAATATGTAGAACTGGGAACATTTGTCATTCACTTTTATCTAATAGCATAAAGAGGTTTTAAAGCATTCCTCCACATAAGCTGCTTTAATCTTATTCCAAACCTGATCATTTCCCTCCAAGGAAATGATGACCTGCTCTAGAGGTCTCCATGGGATCAACTATTCAATCAAAAAAATATTGGATATTATTATGAACAAAAAAAGCGGAGCACAGTTGAAAAAAATTAATTTCAGTCACCCCAGGGATTGTCATTGTGCATGTTTTGTACAGTGATACGTTAAGCAATGTGCTCTTAACATAATATTGGTCATGAAATGTCATTATTGTTTAGAATTATTAGCTTGATATAAAATAGCTCAGAGGTGAAGGAGGAAATCACATTTTATCCCTCCTTTACTGATTTATTAAGTGACCATAAAACAATTTCCATATCCACTTTGAAAAGATGTAAACCACATACAGACAAAAGTTAATATGTAAAAACTATCATAATGATCATCATAGTTAAATGCAATTTTTGTGCTTTAAGGATATTGACATGGCAGTGGATTAAAATTTCTATATGTGACTGGTTAAAACATCAAATGGCAACATGAAAACTGATTAGATTTGTGCTTATTGTACAACATAAATACTGCATATGATACTCACATGTCATTTTTTCATGTGATTTTTTTTCAGGATATGCATTATACAAATGATACAGATTGAATCAATATCAACTTTGTTCAGGCTGTTCACTCAACAAAAGTACTAGTAGCAACAGAGACACTGCACATACTTGAAACTTCCCCAGCTTGAATTCAGGCATTTCTAAGTTTTCTCTTTCTAAGAAATAGCTGATGACTGGAAAAGTGAGTTATGTGCACAAAACTGTAGTTGACAATTGTCCTAATTTGACAAAGTGCAGTGCTGAGCACAGTGGCCATGTTGGCATTATGGTAAATGGAGTAGCAACGGGCTGTATTTATCTTGATCACAGAACATGAAAACTAGATTACACTGTCTATTACCAGAGTCCTAAGAGAATACCACTAGACTGGTATTTTGTATCCCAAAGTCCGCACTGTAAGCAGTCAATACTAACAGAGTTAGCAGAGCATGAAGCTGACACTTGTCCATTCTTAGAACATGGCGCCTGACACAATGTGTGGATTTTTTGTACTAATCATTCTTCACTTCTTTTTATTTTCTCTAAATTCTCTTGGGTCTTAAAGGGAAAATTGGAAAAAGAGCTGTAAACCTGTTCCATTGGTGCACTTTTCTCTTGGAATTAAGTTTCATCATCCCTCTCCTGAAATCCATCTAATCTGTGTATTACAAGGACTAATGAGCCATTGGAAGACACTGTCAAAAATAACTAATGCCAGTCATAATGTTCAATTCCTTGGACTTCGGTTATCAAGTTTCATGATAATTAAGTTGAAGGCAAAATGTAACAAAGTGCTTAAAAGGAATAAAAAGGACAAACTGTCAAATCATTTCAAATTGTTGCTATGCCTGAGTTCAGCAGACTGACATTCAAAGGAACTTTATGGTCAGACAAAGTGACCAAATGACCAAAGAGTACCTCTCATAAATTCTGGTGCATGAATAAGTAACCATAAGGGACTGCAGAAAATTTAATTTGTTAAAGGTTAAAACAGAGTTAAATCAAGAAAACAGGGACAATGCCAAACCAGTTAATAATAAAGGCTAACTCAATATTTCAGCCCCTTAGAGAAAAGTTTATTGTTCTAGGTTTTCACTTAATAGTTATCAGAATACCAAACAGTTCTGTCTGGCAAATCAAGTTTTTTGAAAAGTTTTTTCAATCCTGACTCTATAACCAGTTTTATAGAAATAGTTTCACAGACATAAACCTAATCTTTTTTTCATAACTGAATAAAAGCATACACCAAGCAAAAGTAACATCTCTTTTTGTTTCAATTTACACAGCTGTTTCACAGGTGATAATTTAAGAAGAATATGGAGGCAATTGGGGGTATGTCATTATCTAGACCAAACTTGAAGGCAAGACAACATTACCCCATTTAAAGTTAAAGATTGTGCGTTTGTTGCTTACTTACCCAGTCATAACATGGAAGTTGTTTGTTGTTCCTGTGTGTTCAAAGTCATGAATACATGCTGCTATAATTGTTGCCAAGATGTCCAAATCTGTTAACCAGTCCTTTAAAAAAATCCACATAAAAGAATTAAAATCAAATTTATTACAGTTTGTTAAACCAATGACCACTTTCTTGATCCTTGATTAGAAAGACCCCTAAAAACATACAGGTATGTTCTTTCAAGGGCTTTATCTAAAGAATTTTTACAACACAATATCATTCCTGATCTATATTATTTGTTAAATTTTTATTGTTTTTATACAGTACAATAATACTATTAATTAAAACTTCCAGAAAAAATTGCCTTTTTAACTCTTATTATCCATGTGAAAGCTAATTCCAATGACAATTTTAGCTCAATGGCAACAAACAAAGTACACCCATTTGTATATCTGCATGACTTGGCCAAAAGGGAATTCTTAAATGTATAGGAAATAAAGACAGGAACAGTTCGATACATTTAAGTAATACTATTAGCTCTGTGGGTTTATTCCTTGCACAGCAGGCAAGACTGTAATAGAATTACCATTGAAAGTGAAAAAATCAAATGTCACTTTTCCTTTTTTGTCTTCCTGTCATCTTCAGTCTACTCAATAGATATGACACAGTTATATCAAATTTACAAAAATAAATAAATAAATAAATAAATAAATAAATAAATAAATAAATTAACACAAGGATATTCTATATCCTTGGCAATTTAAAGTGGATGAGAGCCATAGCTTAACTTTATGTGTGGACCAATTTTTAAAACTAATCATCCATCATTTATTTTCTTTTAAAGTCTATCAGTGCTATCTAAAATGAAACATTTTTAGCAAATACTTAGTACATCATACAATATCTTCTACTTACAAAATAATTCTATATTAGTAATGTTAATTACAAATCATGTCCCAGAAATCAAATTTATACCAGCTGAAATATGCTTCATTGTCCAATTCTCATTCTAATTCTGTGTGTGTGAGTGTGTGTGCCAGTACCATTCAGAAACAGTTCTATAAAGCCCATGTAAACTCAAAATCTGGACATTAATAATTTGTAAACTTGACTTACTACAAGTCTACTTTGACTCATAATATGGTGGACAGTCTGTGCAACATCTGCTGCATGTGTTAGGTTGTGGTACGGGTTGTGATTTTTGCTGTAACCCTGCTCCATTGTGTGAAGAAAATTCTCCAAGTAGGTTATGTTGATCTGGAACAAATGAAATCACCATACAATTGGTTTATGGTTATTGGATAAAAGTTAATCATATTTCAAGGCTTGGTCTTTAATTTGGTTGTACTGTTAAGTAATAAAATATGTCAGTAACTGACTTTGTATCAATTTTTCAATATCTATATACATGTCTAATATTTATGACAGATATGTAAGCATATTGAAACCTTAACCACATTAACAAAGCTTGACTTCTCTGTGGTTATTTTGCGGTATAATGTGCACATCTTATATTGTACATGTACTAGGGAAACCTACAGAACCCACAGATACAATGAAGGCTGAACAGGATAAGAAAACTCTAATCTCAACTAAATACTGTTTGTGTTATTAGCCTCAAAATACCTCTTTGCAGACTAAAAACAATTAGATTTCAGCAATAATGGGGAGCAGAGGAAAATATATTGCTTCTATAATGGCATCCAATGTTATATGTACATTTGCCATATGTTGTACTACAATGATATTGGCGGATGGCTCTTAAATTCCCTACACTCATACTTCTCTTTTAGATATAAAATATTCTAATTCTACACATGGCATTGTACATAATTTTTTAAAGTATTCTTACAGTAAAATGCTTAACCAAGTAATCTCAGAAAAATATGATTAAGTATTTGTCTCAAAATTTCTCCCACAATGACAAGAGGCTTCCACTTACCTTAAATTTGGCAATGAGATCATAACGCTGCAATAAGTCATAGGCAACATACTTGAGAGCATGACCTTCACTGATGTCATTTACTGCAAACACATCAAATGACCATTCATTGATATTCTGAAATAAAAAAAATTTCAACAACTTATGATGTATCAACTACAAAAATTGCTACATCAAAATCAAATGATTCTTGTTTAGGCTGTCTACAGGCTGTTTAACAAATCTAACTCCAAGCACATACTTTATGACAAAAAAAAACTATAATTTATGGAAAAAAATATTACCACAGCAGGAGTTCAATACCAAAGCCTGTAAATAGGAAATAAGAACACATTAAACTGGAAATAATGATAATTCCCAAAGATAAAATGCCCATGAATATCTCCTTCTCCCTTTTTATGCTTCATATTCTAGTGTACCTTCAGCATCGTTGACACGGTTGGTGGAACTTGCATCCCCAGGGAAGCAGACATCCGCCGATAGATTCTAGAAAAATTACATAAAACACAGATTATACCTTATACAAAATAATTTTTTCTTATTAATTGACCTAGTATTACATAGTCCTATCAGTCAACTTTCACATTAAGTACAGTGCATCCCAAAGGACTGCTAATAGACATCATTTACTAGAAGATTTAAGTAGTTTTAGTCAGAGCCCATTATTCAAGACTCCAACCAACACATGGGATATACTTTAAAATGAAATTAATGTTTGAAAACGCAATCCAATTTATTACCAACTCACTTTTTTCTGTCATAAAGAAGGAAAATTTTAACTAACTTGTCTACCATGATGCCTGCGCGGATTGCATGAGCCACTGTGCGGAATTTGGGTTTCTCTTCTCGAAGTTTGCGCCCCGAACTGCTCATAGAGCGAGTAAAGGTAAGAGCTAGCCAATCCCGCACCTCGCTAGGGACAGCATCGGGTTCCACCTCGCTGAGTTCATCATCCTCATCACATAAACGCCTAAAAACAATTCAACATAATATCAATGTAACTAAGGGGAACACTAATAATTTGCTGATAAAATCATATCACCGTTTTCTTTGTATCAGTATACCTGGAAATATTGATATATATGCAAATATCAAGTCTGTAAATGTTGAGTAAATGACAATCAAAATACAATCATCTGCCGGCACCTAGAATTCAATTGTTTTCTATTAATGCTATGGTATAAAATTAGAATTTTTTCAAATAAAAATTTCAAAGAGCTTTCAGCTGACAGAAATATCTTTTGAACATGCATGATCTACACAGTACAAGTGTGAGGAATACAACAGGTTAAATAATATTTTCTCTATACCAGATATAATCAATATGTTTTCAAATAATGCCTATACATATAATACCTCATGTTTTGAAACATCTTCCTTTGTGCCCTCTTCATACTTCACGACCTCTGTCTATAGCTACATCTACACATGTTGAAGTCTATTGTAAGTAACACACAGAAACATACTGACTGACATGAAACCTACTTGCATTTCACAACATCTGAATAATCTTTACCAAACAGTCCTCACAAAACATTTCTGAGAAATATCACAAATCAAATAATTCCATTCTTTAAATTAATGTATCACAACTGAACAGTGTATTCTATTTCAAAATCCAAGGCCCTATCACTTATCATGCTTTGAGCTCAAAGCAATCAAGATCTGTTCTAAACAAATATAATTTTCTTTAAACAGCCATAAGTATACACCTAAAACATGGTACCATGTCAAAATACAATCTTCATATAGACAAGAGAATTTATGCCATCCCAAGTCCTGTACTGTATGTATATATGGGAGATATATAGAACTGCCAAAACTGTACTATTTAAATATACACATAATTATATGTGTACATAAAGCTTCTAATCAAAAGGTCTGAAAAAATGGGGAATTTTGTACATTTGAAAATGTGAGGAAAATCTGTAAATCAGGGAATCAGTTGAGTAACAGCCAAAGCATTGAAGCCTCAGCCAAAAAAACTAATATTTCCCCAGGAACACAATACAAATAATATTCCTGGAAGGTTAACAAAAATCATGTCCTGGCAAACAAATGGCAACTAATAAGAGGAAAGGGAGGTGCATTGTAGGTTCTAAGTATGATATCCAAAGGGAATTGTTTACCAGCCAGGGGTTCCCATGTTAATTTGCCAGCAAGCAGAAACGGATGCAAATAGAATGAAAGTTCTACACATATATGAAATCATGTAATTTGCCCAGTGCGTTATTGACAGACCATTACCTGATGGGGCGGCAATACATGAAATCCTATTAAAATTAGAATGCATGGCAGCCTTTCTATCTGCTTTCAAATGCTAATTTGCCATGAGAAAATGATAACTTCATAATCCAGTCAGGCCATTGCCCAGAGAAAGAGGAGTCAAATAAATGCACATTCATATGGCAGAACTGCACCAATACAACTGATTTTTGATAGCAGGCTAAATGCATTCAATTCTGTAATGGTCACAATAAACCCAAGGTAATAATAGTAGAGGTCACCTAAAGAAAACAGTAAGAGGCAAAACAACCCAATAGATTTCAATTATAAAGAAAAGAAAAAGAAGAAAAAATGGCGTGTGAAATGTGGGAGGTACAGAAAAACCAATGTGATAAAAAGATATAAATATTGCTTTAAGACAATGTCAGAAATCCTTACCCAAATATTTTGAAAACTGAGATTTATCTTTTGTATTTTGTTTTCTAAGAGAAACAATATGACCACACAGAAATTCCTATAAAATTTCAATTAAAGAGAAAGAGAAAGTCAATCTGCAAGTTTTTGCAAATAACCAGAAGCTAGGCAGTTTTTAAAAAAATCACTATCATAGAAAGAAGTGGCTTCACTACATAATAAACAACCAGCTAAAACTGAAAAATGTACAGATAACCTATCTCAGTTGAAGTATTAGGAAAACATGTGAACAGTGTCTAACTGCACAGGTACTTCTAATTAAAAGGCTCACATTCCAAGAAGCTTGAAGGGAAAGAAATTCTCCACATATAAGCTATTGATAGACTCATTGTTAGAGATAAAAATAATATTACAAGAGTAAAATCAGGTAAAATGATGAATGAAAAGATACAGGGAATAATCTGAGCATTCAAAATTTATCAGCATTTTACACCCACAGGTAACCCCAGCAAGTTACACTGCCATCTCTCAGTTTTCTCAAATATATGAACACTTCTGAGTACAGCACAGGAGATTAGGTTACTTCATTGCCTTCACATGTGTGTACAGTATGATCCAACATTAACTCGCCCTATGATAATATACATCCACACATTTGCTGGAAATATTAATAATTCTATTAAATAGATGGCTTAAGAAGTACTCAACAATGGTGGTTGACGCAGTTGTGAATGGATCTGCATCACTGATGATTCACTTGCAATAAACAGCTCTTCTTGCAAATGTATTATAAACACTAACTTTGGTCCTGAATTATATGTTAGAATCCTTTTAGTCATATCTATTAGGTCATTTCTAGCTCTATTAACAAGTGGTATCCTTCCCCTACACATTTAGACTGGTAAACTATGAGATACATCGCTTGACAGAAATTAGCAATGACTCTACACTTCTTGTTTAGATGTAAGCTATATGATGATTTAAGGAACCAGTTCATGACAGTAGCCTTCGAAAAAAATGGAACTACAGTAACTTTCAAAATTATGTTGGTCCAAAGAGACTGATTTTTTTCTTTCTTATTTTTCACAACCAAAAACTACATATAGACTTTTGACTTCCTTTAATTAAGCTGTATTTCTTTCTCCACATTATATTATAGTACTGTATATAGTTTTGCAATCCTTAATTACTTAGGCTTGGTTCCTGTATAGGTGTGGGACTTGAAATAAACTATTCATTCATTCAATAACAGCAAAGATTTGTTTTCAATCAGTTTCCGAAACACAAGTTATAATTATCTGCATTTTTGTTACACTAACTCATGAAACAATACACGTCTGGGAATCTTTTCAATACAACACTTTTTATCATTAAATTGGAAGATTGTATCTCATTTTATTACAAAAATGATCAGGCTTTGCTGCTGTCTATCTCGCAAGCAAATAGCATCATGCAAGAAGGCAATCCCACTTTCGATTGGGGTTTCTAGCTAATAGCTTGAGTAGCTTGGTAACCTTTCTTGAAATAAACCAAATAAATAGGCTTATTTTATCCACCCTGTACTTCCAACCATGTTTCAATAGTTTTCTAATAATGACAGCAAGTATATAGTAGTTCATGTATCACTGGTTCATCATATACTTTATGTCATTTTTATTGTGCAACTGTCTAGATCTTTGCATATTACTTGTACAATAAGGATGATTTTCTGTAGTAAGTAGCCTGAAGGATGTGAAGTAATTTTATATTACACTGAATCAGATTGATTTCTCTATCCATAACTCTCAGAATCTAGGACCCAAAATATTCCCTCCTAGTCAGAATTTATTCCTCTCAGGATGTCAACTTGCACAAGGAACTTAAAATGTTCCTAGAACAGCTGTGACTATAATTAATATGCAATAGTACTCAATCAAAAGCTCATATATCATGGTATTCACAAATGACAGTTTCACAAAAAGGAATAATTTTAAAGATTTTTCAAAATTATGTTTATATAGTTGTTTCAACCTAAAGCCCAAATATGTACTTCCATCTGGAACAAATTGTTTGATAATAAAAGTACCAACTGCAATATGTCCAAATAATAATAAGAAGAAGAATAAATAATAATAATAAGAATAATTGAATTACTACAAAAATCACCTCATAATACAGATAAAAATAGTTGAAAAATGATATCAAATGTAAAAAATACAACAATACTTTTCTGATTTTTTCTCTTCATCCTTGTCAGCCATCTTGACAATGCAGGCTGTTGGCATTCCTGTTGGTTCAGCTTCTGGGTTTGACAAACTCATTGGACATCAACGTGGCTTCACCTTCCCTATCAGCCACAGCACTGTAGAAAGATCTCCTTTACAGGTCTAGCAGACGACCCTGAGAGTGACAAACAACAGTAACCCCTCGGTCTAAACTCTCATCCCTTTTTGCTAAAGTAATTTGTGTACAAATCCGGAATCTTTTTCACAAGAGTATTTCAAAGTCCACATAATATACCCAATCCTTCTCAAGAGTGATCATTCCCGTCTCCAGAGTTTTAGTACTGATGTACAATTCATCCTCCTCCTGTTTTACATGAACAAGCAAATATTTCTTGCTTTTCTTCTGTTGTGGTGACGTCTCTGAGTGGTTATACTACATCTCTACATTCAAATCATTAATCTTTTATCATCACACACTAGATCTCTGATCAGATAAAGTCAAATGCAACTCATATCATCAATTGACTGTATATGTCATATGGATACCTTTTTTCTTTCTCCATAGCCATAGGCTGGACATGACAGTGACAAAATAAAACAAATAGGAAATGGTAAATACAAAATAAACAAAAAGAAATAAATCCACTTCCGCAAGGAGATTTTTTTCTGTTAAGTCTCAGTGATCCTCTGGTGCACTTACATCCATCTCTTTGCCCAGAAAGTTTAGCAACAAATGCCATTAACATAAATGGCAAGAGAGGTGGGTTTGGGTAAAATGAAGAATATGCAAATATAATTAGCATGGAGAAAGTTTGGCACTTAAATCAATGGATGAGAAGTCAATTTGACAACATTGTCAAAGATTGAGAAACTGTCACCAATGTCATATCCACCTATCCACCAATTTGAATATCAACTCTTAGACTATATAAAATATCATCTCTCGGGAAGAATTTCCATGAACAGTATTCAGCCGACATGCATATACACAATGATCTGCTTTCTTTTAAGTCGCTTATATGGCAGAAGTCATCTCTTTTAAATGGATAGCTTCTTTGAAGTGGTCCAACCTTTTCAGTCTGGTAATAGGAGCTGTTATAGAATAAAGGTCAAAATCTTTAAACTATAACACCAGTACTAGTATATATATATATATATATATCCCACAGAGATTGATACATAAGAAATACAGGAGTTAAAGGTTCAGCATATTTCATCGAGACCTGATGACTATACCTCTAGTAAATTATTGTGGGATACATATAGTCCTCTTGTATGCAGTTGATATGTGTAGCGAATGTATATCTGTATCCAATCCATATTCCGTAAACTACAGTCTCTGCGTAAATAGTGTTGTTTTTCCAACTGACTGAATACCAATACAGTTTAGTTTAGATGCTATAACTTTACAATGTTAAAACAATTGAACTATTGTGGGTGCTGATTTTTATTTTTGTAATCAGCTTTTAATGATAGCCTAAAAACTCTTTTTGGCCTAAAAAACTGTTTCCATAAGAGGTGCTGTCACCCTTCACCTGTATGACGCTTAAATACAGCCTTGCATTTCTAATTGGTGTAGCAATCTTCCAGTCACTTTCCCTTGAGCCCTGTTCATGAAGCCACATATACAAAAATTATTCTATGCTGCTGCAGCCACAGTGCACGTACTGCATTCCATTGGGAATGTCCAACTCCAAGCACAGCAAGGATATTGCTTCCTTGTCAATGAACAGAATTTGTGATGATTTGACTTGGCCAGCTCATCTTCTCCTCTGATCCTAATATCTCTAATGTTAACTATATAATTTCATTTGGTGAAGGAAGAAGTCAGTCCCCGCTGGCTTGACTGATGTGCCAGCTGGACACAGGAGACAAAATATGACGGATGAAAATTCACGTTACAGTTGGGTTGCCAACGGTATCATACATATTACTTATCAGTGGATGAAATGAGACATTAAAAACCAATTAACTATCTATCAGTTTTTAAGCCACCTAAGTCAGACATTATCTGCTTCTTGAAGCATTTGATGGTACAATATATAATATCTGAGGAACGGAGGAAGCCTGGTGCATCATGTATATGCAGCAAATGGCAAGTGAGGTAACCGACAGTAGACTTCATTATTGATAACCACATTAATACTACACAGCAGCTGCTGCAGTTGAAATGAAAAAAAAAAATCATCAAATGAGAGGGAATGAAAAGAAAGAGGTGTTTTAGAGTCCTTTCACTTTAAGATCACACAGTGGTTAATGCGTGATGTGTGTCAGTTTTACATAATAAAACACTCATAAAAATTATTCCAAAAAGAATCCCACATAAACAAACTGGGAAGATGTTATTTGGAAAGCGAAAATAAGCAGAGTTTCTATGCTGTTGTCTTCATAATGTTATGGATGGATGATTTTATAAATGTGATTCACAAATCTTTTGGATGGAGTAAAATATGTTGTAGTTAAAACATATTTAACCTTATGTACACTATTAGCTGCAGTGCTTATGAATGTTGGCAAATGTTAAAAATTGTTTCATACAAACAATGCCCACGTACACATAATAAAAGCTACCTCTCACTAGCAAACTTACAAATGAGCCAGGCAATCAGAAACCAAAAATCAAATTTACTATCTTCCCTGCACTACTCAAACACAAATTCCATTATACAACTTGACAGCGCCTTGGAGTGAAGTCAATAACGAGGCCATATTACACCGTACTGAGTTGCTAAAACAAATGTACGGAAACAAGCTAAGCAATTGAGCTGCTGCTTTGTACAACAAAATAATGACAAATGTTTCAATATATTCCTTTCACCATTATTACTAGATTTTTTTCAAGAGAGACACATAATAGCCCCACTTATTCATTATCCTTTAAAATAACCTTTTAAATGAAACCACTCATATTTGATAAAAACACTTTTAAAAAAGCTCAAGATTGACATTTTACCTTGATTAAAAACACAGGATGAATGATTCAGTACAGTAACTAAACATGGAGAAAACACAAATAGTCAAAGCCATTATTTATGAAATACATGCAGAAAAAATAAACCCTAGTTGTGCCACTGTCCTTCATGACGTAAACAACTCTTACTGGGGGATATTTTAATGGTTCGGGTTCATTTATCAATAATTCACACCTGTCATAATGTCATCATAAAGTCAAAAGTTGTGAACATTTTGTATTTTTAAATTACACAATCTCTATAGCTTCTATGATATGATAGAACCTTGTAGGGTCTCTCCACCTGACTGGTAAATGACTGCATAAAGAAAACTCAATTACTTCTAATGGCATACAGAAGACCAGACATGAACAGGTCTGAGAAGGTAAAATAAGATATCTGAACCTATAATTTCTGTGTCTAAAAATCTCATATTACTATTTAATGATCAGATTAAATAAACAATTTGTTTATGCTTTACAAAACTAAGATGAAGTTCAGTATATTTTTTCGAAAAATATTAAACAGTTTGTTAGTGATCTGACAGCAAATGATTAATGTCCAAAAAAAAGTTTATTCAACTAAATTGTCATTATTTTTCAATCTTTTTAATGTCATTCTGTGCAACTATGTCATAAATCATATCAGTGACATGAAAATTCTTAGGATTTTAAGCATGTAAATTAGACTTTTTCCTCAAAGCTGACCATTACTTTATTCTCATCCTGATAGCATTTCATACATTTTACACCATCTATGCCACATGTAATTATATATAAATGCAATATCTCCTGAAAGTTGAGCTGAAATTTGAAAAAAAAAAAAAAATTAAGTTTACCATTTGAATAAAACACACAGAAAGAAGTCAAATGAATAATATTATGTATAAGATAATCATAAAATGTGAAATAACCATTTTGATGAAAAAATATTTTTTATTATTGCTAAACTAGTATGTGTCTTATACATATTAATAAAAGCTGTTATGAAAAATCTTTACACATTAAAGGGATAATAACTCTTCGTATGACATCTATATTTCACGATAAAAACATTGTGAACAACTCATAAAAATATAATACATATTATTCTGATATCTGAGCTTCTCTTTAGACCATCTCTTAAGAGATTATAACAAAGAAAAAAAACAAAACAAACTTTTTAGAAAAAAAAAACAAAAAATAGGGACTAACTTTGAATGTAAAAATGGATTCATTAACCATTGGTAAGTACGGGAAAATTGTTGCATACTCCAGAAAAATTCATTTTTTGGCCAAAACGAAGAGTTATTATTCCTTTAAAAGGAAATACAATAACTGTTAACTCATAGTTATCTAAATGCTTTGGCAACCCATGCAAGGCTCTGTACAAGATGCTAAAGAGAGATATGTTAGTTGTCCCAATGATTGTGACAGCAGAATGCATCAGATGTTCCAGTAAATAATTCCAAATACCATAACATATTCCAGTCAGTGATGGTGCTGTCACACTATAGTGCTATCACACAGTAATATTAGATCACCAGCATTAAATAAGTAAAAAATCTTTTCAAATAGGGGTATTATGAAGACAATGCTATAATCTGGTTAATAAAGGTATCGTGAGAGTGCAACTGCAGTTGAGTGAGCAAAAAGGTCTAACCTCCAGGTGTAGATTGTTAATATCTTTGAATAAGTAATCTGCTAAAACAGGAAATCATAATTAATGTGAAAATAGAAAAAGGAATTCTTATCAAAGAGGAAAACACAAGCAAAGAGGATCCAGCCCAAGAACTGCAGTCCGTTACCTCTCCCCTGTGAGGGCCTCGATGTAAACTTGTCCAGGTGCTGCCCTACCTGGGGGAGCCTCTGCTCTGCCCATCTGGGACCTATTGGCAAGGAAGACACATATATTAGTAAGCGAAGCCAACTGGGGTTTATTTCTCATTTGGTCTTTTACAACCCAAAGGTAACCAACACCATGGTCAAGTTATCACATTTAGGTATAATGGTTACATGTATAAAGCCCCAACTTGGTATATTTGTTATAGTAAGGATAACAAAAGAAGAAAGATGCACATATGTATCTGGTATTTATGCACATATAACAAATATAAACTGTAAACAATGCCGTTAAGAAGATGCATCATCACCACCACTGAAAAAAAGACTTGGAAACTATCATTTTAATATTGAAGCAGTTCATGCAATTATGCCATTCATAATTAATTGTCAAATGCATGGCATGAAACTGCATGGTGGCAAACATATCAAACACTGCATAATTCAGTACAGTTGTGAATTAAACAACAAATTTAAATAGAACATTTCAAGGAATTGAACACTATGGAAATGTTACTGACTCAGTATATAACACTGTATTGTATTCATCATCATCTCATGCAGGAGAATTCACATTCCATATGCAGCAATTATGTCATGTCAGGCTACAACTGACACTGGCATTCAGGGAAACTAAACATGACATGCATACGGAATATAGTTCATTGACTTCAAAATGCAAACTGAACTATCTTCTTTGACTGTATATAGATATATGCTAGCTGTTAGTCACACCATTCTACACACTATAGACTAAAAGTATATTTAGTGTAATTTCATCTCAGTAGACAGCTGCTCAAACTTCTTTAACTATTTATAATAGACCACAGTTATTCATCTTAATAAGTTAAGGTATAAAAAAAGTTAAGAAAAACCGCTGATGAGCACCTGCAATTAAAATAAAACACACCTAAAATCATAAAAATATGATAATTAATATAATAATATTGACAATATGCTTATGAAGAACACATCATGAAGAAATTGCCTGTAGTCAGAGTGAACAGTGCCTTCCTTCACACCCTTTGGCTGAGATCACAGGAAATTACTACAGTCTGGGCGTGCATCAATCTGTTGTATGCCAGATCGATGTTTTTCATCACCCAGTGTTAGTAGACAGTGATGCATCACAATTTTTTATAACAACCATAATGTTTCCTTATTTGAATATCAAAGCAAAGCTCTACACACACACTTAATGCTATATAATAATTGAGAGTAGCTGGATTTCTAATGATTGTATCAATTCCATTTAAATTAAAATTAAGTTAAAATAAAGTTCTACACAACAACCAGATGCAAACAGGTATGCATTATTAAAATTTGTTTTTGCAATACCCATACATCTAAAATAATTACAACTAAAATAAAAGATGCACAAGCTTTATCTTTAACTGCCTTTTGCAATGATTACATGGTACTCATAACTTCAAAACATATATTCTATATACCAGGAATATATACTACATTCCTGCGATGCATATTGCTCATTCCTGGAACATATTCCCAACTCTATGACTACTGGTACTTGGTATATATCCCTTAATCTAAAAATATATAAACCCCTGTTTAGGAATATGTTCCTCCTTCCAATATGACAATCTACATAAGGATAAGTAAATCAAACTATCATTGCAGTTTTGATAATAATTTGCACAGTATCATTCAACTTTTATAAACATTTCACATTCCAGAATTATAATTTCACACTCAATGCCATCTTACGGTAGAAGCAACAAACAAATAAGCATAAATAAAGTTTACATCTAGAGTCAAGAATCTCAACGATGAAACAAAAAGCAACCCAAAAGGAGTGCGAGCAGAACTAGCAAGCAGTCAGACAAGCAGGCAAGCAGATATGCAAATTAGAATAGAACCTTTTACTAGTGGAGCCAGGGGTTCCTCCAGTGGTGATCAAAGTTGAGGAGTGGTCACTGCATGCACGGTCCACGGCACGGTCACATGTTATAATAGGCCTGTGGGATAAAAAAGAGTGGCTCATGCATCATAGGGCAACCATTAAGCCAAGTGATCTCACATAAAGCAGATAGAAATGCTACTGCTCAACATTCAGGGTGCAGCTTGGGCAAAGTACCCAGATTTGAAAAATGATTACTAGAGGGCTCTGCTAAGAACCTGGTTGGTGCTGAACAGACTGTAGATGGCACTGTGATCATGATGATGCACAGCTGGAAAGCAGAGTTACATTGACATGATACCTACTACCAGTTGAGTACATGTATTCAATTTGAAGGAAAAAAATTGAAAGCTCCAAATTAAAAAGCTATACACAATTATGAAGAAAATAACGTCAAAGGCATCACATGAATTGTGCTAAGTGTTTGTTCACAACAACATAGTCAAAAGACACAGGGGTTGTATACGTAGCTGCATTTTTTAAATTAGGCAGCATAAAAGCAATAAATAGGATTTATGATTAGGGACAATCCAGTGCATAAAAGAAAAAGGAAAAAATCACTTTGCAAGTGTGCTTCTAAATGTACGTATTTAGAGCTATTTTTGATAATATATACACTATTAAAGAGCAGCGTAATGTTTCAGTCAACATGTCTAAATGAAAATCATACATCATAATTAATTGGAATTAATTACTGCTTTGTCCTCATTATCAAGAGAGATTTCACGCAGCACTAATCTCATCTTAATGTATATCATTTATCAATTCACAAAAGCAAAAATTAAGCTTTGATTAAAAAAATTACATTAAGAACAACTCACTCTTTTCTTTGTTGAAGATATGGGACATTTATTTCTATAAGAATTATTCTGGATTTTTCAAATCAGGCAACATCCACACGTGTAAAATGAACAAATCCATACTCCTTAGTCAGCTTCTGATTCAAAATTATGCTGATGATATATACATGTATGGTGTGTTTGGAATTCTTCATATTAAGAAACCTACATTTCTCTGTAGGGAAAGAAGAAATATTAATGCCCACTTTGCCATGCTACAGTTCATAATTGCTAATTAAAGCATTAAAATCAGACCAATGCAAAAATATAATAATAATAATAATAATAATGAATAATAATAATAATAATAATAATAACTGTCACATACAAAAGAAAATGCAAATTCAAAATTGGAATAAAGTGAAAGTATGAATCTTTATGTGTTTATGTATTGCAACCACTATTTATTTGCTAAAAGATATGTTATTTGTTGTTTAAATGATACAGAAGAGCAATGCAGGATGAGGGTACATTTTCATATACAAAAGAGGATGTTTCTAAAGCATCATATCTGTAATGAAGGTACTGGTAATTGTATCCACATATGTATACAGTCTCTGAACAGTAAAACACGAAAACAGATTTCTCTTTATGTATTTATCCCCTGTATGTCATGGATGATGACTTGTAATGGACAGGCATGTCACAGTAGATTTAAAATTCATGGACCACATCATAACAAATACAAAATTGATAAAAACTGACATGAATGTTGACACAGAATAGTTATTCTATAATATTTCAATGAATCAATGGACAAATGACATGCCTATAAGAATCCAGTACAGCCCAATATGTGCAAAGTTCATTGGCCCAAACGTTTTCGAGTCAGATGGTTCACTTGTTTAAAAGTTCTTTGATCATTAATTATATATTTTAAGAAGTTGCAATTATAAACTTAAAAGGCAATTGCTATCTAAGAACAAGAATATAGGGGCCATTCACACTAGCAAGTTAACTGCAGTCCAGTAGACCCTGATAGAATTGCAGTTGAATAAACCCAGTTTCTTTGCGTTCACACTAATTTGGCAGCAATCGCCTTTCACCAATCATACTTCCTGTTAAGCATGCGTATTGTTCTGTTCTCATCAAAAAGTAACATGAACAACATGGCAGGAGTTTGAGTAGCAATAAATGTTATGCTGTACAAAATCTTAAATTTACTCATGTCGAGAAATATTTTCATGAGAACTGCGTAGTCTGTTCAGATTAGAAAAGTTAACTCTGTCAGGACTGTGATCAGACATTAATGGCAGTGGAAATTGCCAGTGTGAATAGCTTTATTGTCTCTCTCTCTAAGTCACTTTCTAGCCAATAAATCTTCGGACAAAAAAAAAAAAAAAAAGGACAGATGACATTTTGCCATTTTCTGGCCAAGACCCTTTGGACTGTTGAGACAGATTTGTCAGAAAAAACAATGAATAATAAGTTATCATCATCACAATTGATATATTGTTTAATTAGAGTACAAAATATGTAAAGAATTTCAACTTTTTTCCAAAAAAAATGTTCATATTATGAGAATATATTACTTTTTCTATCAAGGTTTTTCAACCTCTATCTATTCATTATAACCTCTTCTTTCATAAACAGCATTGCTCATTATGTCTTATAAGGAAGAGGGACACATAAATAAATAATTACGGAAAATGAAAACCAAGCAAACAACAGTCAATTCAATATCTAAAAGTTAGCCAGGGGCTGAGACAGAGCTTCCCGAACAAGAATAGCTGCATTATAATCAAAGAAATGTTGCATGTGTTCACCATCTATGTATTTTAGGTTAAATTATACTGCACATTAATGGAAATATGTGTGGTAATTAGGTGTTAAGTCTGGCAGACTGTGCTGCAGGCGGCCGTGGTTTACTGCTTTGTTGATTCCATATGAAGTGAGGTTATCCAAGAAGTGCAATTTCTGTGCTGAAAACTACTAGAAGCACACACACAACGCAATATCCCCAGTCAATTATATCTTGATGCTGAAGTAATGCATTGTTTGCTGGCAAATATTCACCAGTGGGTTCTTCTCTCACATTTTTCTTCCATTTAATTCTTCAAGAAATTCAAATTTAGATACCAATAACATTTTTCATTTTACAATTTTCTTATATTTTTATATATTTGTAATTAATAAAGCCATTTAGATTGAAGACAGCATTACATACCAAAATAATTATCCTTTTGTAAATATCAAAGGTTTTTATATAATAAAATCTACATATCGAATATACATGATATAGTACAGTGGTGGAATAAAATATCCAAATCGTTTAGGCTTTTAGCTTTTTGTTTCATACTTGGTGCTACCTATCACCACATATTAAAATTGTCAATATACCTGTAGCACAAAACCATCAAGAGCTGACATTTTTTTTACAAAAAATGCAAATATCTTCATTCAAACATATTTTTTTGAATAGACTGATTTGACATTTTTTTCACCACTGTCTCCAATGAATAAATAAACCAACCTATAATTACACAAACATGACCTTTCATGGGGCACCAGGTGTGTCTGTATTTGGAAAACTAGACTTTGATTCCCATGGAAAAAAGAAGTTACAGCTTCTATTACATAAACTCTACAGTGCATTACAGCTGCATTTACACAGGGGAAAGAAGTAACGCTAAAACTAATCAAAATGAAATTTACTTTAGAAACTTTAAAATGAACTTCAAACACTTTTTTTCAAAATGTAATCTATACAAGTTACAATATGATGTTATGCACTTAATAAATTGAGATAATTTAACATTTAAACCTCTAAAGGAGTTTTCAAAACATTAAAAAATGTTTAGACCAACTGTCCAGTATTTACTACATGTAGTAACACACTAGCTTTAAGAGGCATTACAAATAGTGTAGGTAGTTATATCATAGTCAGAAATATGTGAAATTAGCCAAAGTTACTCAAATAAAACTTGATGATCATTTGACATTTGTTAAGTTCTTATAGGGATAATAACTCTTCGTATGAGATCTATATTTCACAATAAAAACATTGTAAACAACTCATAGAAATATAAAATATTCTGTTTTACCACAAAAACGGCAGTTATAGCTATTTTTTCTGATATCTGAGCTTGTCATTGGACCACGTGACCTCCATGGCTATACTCTGTAATAATCTCTAAAGAGATTATAACAAAAAAAAAAAACTTTTTAGAAAAAAACAGGGACTAACTTTGAATGTAGAAATGGATTCATTAACCATTGGTAAGTATGAGAAAATTGTTGTTTACTCCAGGAAAATTAATTTTTTGTCCAAAACGAACAGTTATTATCCCTTTAAAAGATGAGAGCACATAAACTGTATAAGAATGTGAAGAGGTCATATAATTTTATATGCCCTATTTATATCTAAATCTAAAAATTTGGACTCAGGCATGTGTAAATAGATTAATATTTAAATATATCGAATATAGTGTCAGAAATACATGTCTCACTAGAAGTACAACTGGGGTGTTATTAAGATTGATGCCCCATGAAAAGTGACTTGAACTTAAAATCCCTACTGACTTTTAATGGTTTTGCCGTTTCAGAATGGTACAATATTTCAGAAGTTAGTTCATCTCCTGTGAAGATTAATCTTTGCCCTTTTAATTCTAGTTGCATCTGGTTCCAAAAAGGTTTTAATGTCAAGTGCCTAATATCTAGTCCACTTTTATGTTTCATAAGTATCATATTGTAGTGGGATATATGGATCTGGGATGTGTATGGTAAAGCTGATTTTAGTGCACTGTGTATGTAGACATCATGCAAAAATTAAATAAATAAATAAATAAATAAATAAATAAATAAATAAATAAATAAATAAATAAATAAAAACAAAAGAACAATGCAGCAAATAGCCAGACAAAAACAATTAACATAAACTGAGTATTTTCATAGGACAAAAATGATTCATATTTGATAAATGTACAGAGTAAAATTTTGCTTAAAATAACTAAATATTCGGAGATAAGAGGATTAACAATACCCATAACTTTTCATTTAGATATTTCCAAATATTTCTTTATGCATTTTATACAAAATTAAACAATAATCTATGCTGAATTAAAAATAAATTAACTTCTGACACAGAAAATTACACAAAAATTTACCCAGCAAGCCTACTTAAGTACCAGAAATAATCTGATGAGGTTCGCTGTGCTTCAAACTGACACCTTTCTTCTTGTCACAAAATGTGGTTCACCTGTCTTTTTACCTTGACTATCCAGCCTCTGTCACAAAATGCGGTTCACCTGTCTTTTTACCTTGACCATCCAGCCTCTGTCATCTAGGTGGACCTATTTTTATACACGAACAAAAGTTCAAGTGATTAAAATAAACTGCATGCTAAAAATTACTGAAATCCTACCTGGTTTCATCAATGTACACTGTTTCCAGGACTGAAGCAGCATACTCCAGGTTGCGCTTTAAATCCTCTTTAGACAATTCTTCATGATCAAGTTTCTTTAGAATATGACGTAACCTGAAAGATAATGAAAATAGATTTTGTCATCACAAAAAGATGTGATTACTAATATCAAATCATCCCATCAAAGAATAATGCCTTGTGCAAGGTACATGGCAGTTATATTGACTCCAATGTACCATAATACTGTAACTCATAAAAGCAATTTTATAATATATCAAAATAAAATGATTTTTAACTTAAGTGTGTCACATTGCAACCATCAATACTGTGTCTTTTCTAAGGAAAAATCTAAAATCTCCAAAATGTTCAATCACACAGAAAAAGTTCTTAACAGCTGATAAGATATATACTTGGAACAATCAAAATTGATCCAGAAAATGTGTTTAGATACTTTTTTTTGAATGAATGCAAAACATGAAAGTGAACCAGGCATAAAGAAAAAAGATACGAAAATAGGATATCAAAATCCATTTCAGTGGAGCATTCTGTGCCAATAAATCTTTAGTACTTCCTGATACTAATTTTGCAAAAATTATTCCTAGCCCTTTTGAGTATCTATCATTATATATATTTAAACTTAACTAAGACAATAGGGAAGATATTATGTTACGTTGTGGTACCATGGTTAGTAAATACATAATAAAATATGCAATTAGAAGACCCTATCTATCAACTGAACAGTCAAAACAATAAAAACCCTTCTGCAAAATTGATATTGTTGTCAAAAAAGCCTCTGTCTCACTTTAAGATCCTCCCTATTTTATCTGGGATCGTGGGACTCTCAAATTTGTCATGATAGAACCCCTACCTTCTTACACAATAACCATGATGCATTCTGATCACTTGGTCCATCTTGACATGTGGCTTCCTATCAATTCCACTGCGTACTCATTACACGTCATGTGGTAAAAACAAAAAAGCAATAACCATCATCCTCTCATAAAGTTCTTGGAGACCTGGCATAAATTTGCTTCCATTCTGCCATACAATAGAGCCAAGACTTGATGCACAAGCACTCCTGGGCAGTGATCAAGACATAAAAGTAGAGATATATTGAAATCCTTTTCAGCTTGATGAGCAAGGGTAATAACTCCGACATACAAGCCTGTCTCTGATTGGTTTCTTTGAACACCGAGGATTGGGTCTTTTTCTCAGCTTTTGCGGCAGCAGCATGTGAGGGTTTCACCCTCTTAATATTATTAATAGCTACTACCCAGCTGAGCACAAATTACCCACAGGTTATGCACCTTTCATACAAAATATTTAATAAATGACAGTGCTTTTTCTTTGTAACTAGATTGGACTTCCAATTCTGCCAACAGCTCTCTTGTGGATTCATGGTATTTGCTACCCAGTAACGCACTTATCAAATTAATTTACTTGAAAGATATTAGTGATGACGATGATGACCCAAGTTTAGGCTCTACCTAGTCAGCCTATATGTGTTCAGTGAAAGAGTAATCTGCAAGCATAGTTGATTGAGTCTGCAGACACGTTTTCACACACTTAAAGCACACATCAGATACAGCAAATAGGCTTCATCAGTATGGTGCATACTTGGTTAGAATCAAGATAATACAGCAGCCAGTGAATAGCACACTCAAGGACAACAAAATGCAAGCATCAAATGCTAAAGCTTCCAATCAATTCTTGCACATTATGAAAGAAGCCGGATAAAGCTGCCTAGCCATCTATCTATTTACAGTATATTAAACACTATAGTTTTTGAAAAAAAAATGCGAACAGTAATCTCCTCCAGCTAAAATGCTCAGGAAGGGAAACTATAGCATATGGCCGGAGGTCATGGTTGACTCTGCATATAAGTGGTACTGATCCTAGTGCTAACTGAGTGAGGAAATTCAAAACTAGCATCTACTGCCAATTCCTTTGATCTTCTAAGACATCGTCTGCTTATTTTTAATCATCAAAGACTCATTCTTTCATGAAAAGCATAGAAATTCGCAGAAATGTTGCCAGGTCACTGCCTGTTCATATCAATACAAACCTATAAGTGCTGTCATCATTGATACAGCATATTGCAGGCATAATAAAAATGAATGGTTTCCATAAAGATTTATTGAAAATCCAATTTTCCAAGTATATATATATAACACAAATAGCAATTTTAGTTCTGTTTGCTCTGTTTGTGTTTGTTCTTCAATGCAATAATCATGTAATGCATACCTTATCTTATATTCAACTAATTAAGTCACACAAATGTTGCAGCTAGACTAATGGCTTAATTATTCAAAATTCTGGGATTACAAAGCCATTACTGTGCCTCATTAGCATTAAGCCACCTGATGTAACTGTGAGTTAATCTGAGTTCAATTAATATAATCTGACATCTGTGGTGCTGAAAGACAAATAAAATTGAATTTGCAAAATCAAAATTTATAATACTGCAACAAACTTTTGTGTTAAATATACCCAAAAAATGATTAAAATATAATTTTATGACTCTTAACATAAAACTGATACAGGTGTAAATAATTATAAGCAACAACTGGGCATAAGTAAGGGGGGTCCAGGGGCCAAATGAAACAACCTTTTGGGCAGGAAGAGATCCACTCTGAATCAAAGTTAGGTTCTATGCTGTTCTGGTAAAAAGGTCACCCTTGATATTGCTTGGAATAGCCAAATACCAAACAATCCATTATGTCATCACATTTAGGCCACCATTTCTATGATAGAACAATAATCAATTTACCAATGATAAATATTCATAACCACAATCCATACAGCTTCCCTCCAGGCATCCAGTCAAAGTTAACTAGCCTGTGTCCTATATTCAATCATCTACAGTTTAACTCCCCCTAAACCCCAAGGGTTTAAATAAGAAACTGGACATTTCAGCATTTGCCTCCTTCAATTTCATCCTTGGGAAATCATTAAATTCTGCTTGGCTTTTCATTGTGGTCAATTTTCTCAGTTCCCTGGAGTTTTTAGCTTGTCAGTAATTTAAATGATTTTTTTTTCAAATTCTTTTCCTACAATCTCTGAATTTGCCTTCTACTGAGCACTTCTGAATCAAATTGTTTAATGTACAAAATTGTTTAATGCACTGATAACAGGTGTTCAAGGTAAATTATATCATGCACACACACACTTGCACAAAACACCCAAATATGCAAATGCACAGTCACATTCAAATATGCACATACAAACGCTACGGCTGATATCTTTGACCAATTTCATCAATATAATGTTAAAACCCATATGCTGCATTTGTGCAATTGCCTGCATAAACTAGTATGTGGGTGGCAGTCATTAATAAAATGTGAACATCGCTGGTGAATTTAGTTCAGCTAGGAAATTGAAACATATTGAAATATACATCATTAGTATAATGGCTTACCCTGAACTTGTCCATACTGTTGAGATAAGGTATAGACTGTGCATAGAGCACTTACATTAATACTGCCATGGCAACACTTAAATTGGTCTCAACCATCTACATGTTGCAAGCTCACAACAAAAAAATAAATATTACCAGCTTACTGTAGAAAATTTATGACATTAGATTCTTTAGCTGCAATAGTCAAATGAACTATACTATGTGTTACAGTTGGTTCACTACCTTAATACAACATCACCATATGCGTCCTTCCAGCTGTGACAGCTAGGAGTGTCAATCATCAAAGACAGTTCACTCTCTGTGACATCTGGACATTCAATGTCCCTGCGACCACAGCATTTGCAGCGGCAAACAGCTGGCAGTGTCCTAGTGAAGGCATTCCTAGCCAACCTATACACAAGAGAGACTGCTTGCCCCATGCTTTACCACTCTCCTCTGCTTAGCTGCCAATGTATCTCAGTGTGGCAGATGCCATATGGTCAAACTATGGAGACACTGCAGAAACAATGAATCTGAATACACAGCACATGTCTGCTGCTATTTAATGGTTGATAGATTTAACCAGGGACACTCCACTCTGCAGAAATCATCCTATAGATTGGAAGTGTCTGCCTCGCCTACATCTTCCAAACCATCGCAATCAGTCCATTTTGCTTGCCTCACGTTGGATGCCCTTCTACATCAAAATCAATGTTCTCTTAATCTATCTGGCAATATTAAAACAATGGAGAGACACAAGTTTGCCTCCCAAACACCCATCAAGGAAGGAAAGTGCAGTCACTGTCAGCAGACCCAGCTGTGCTCGTAATTATAACAGTTCATCTCTCTACATTTGACAACTTTTCGATTTCCCAGCACATATCAACTTATCACTGTCCATCTCTATAGCACTGAGGCAGCTATTGTAACATATATCATACGCTGGTAAGCAGCAGTCTGTCATCATTTCTCCTTATCAAACATAAGTCTGCCAAATATATTGTCTAGATAAGTAGCAAAATTAACTTGCAACCGGAAGAATACGTAACACAAGATGACAGCCTTGTCAAATGAATTTCATATGACTTCGTAAACCTTTCTTTTTACTTTTTCTTTGTTTTAGTGTGTGCAAACATCAACTACAGAGTGCCTATTTCTGCCCTTGTATTCAAATGTCATTTGCATGTAAGCCTGCTGGCAACTCTGAGGCAAATCCACAGATTCAGAACAAGGAAAGAAGCAACAGCAATCTTGTCTGAATGATGTTCTCCTGTGGGTTTAACACAGGCTATTCATCATGGGTGAGAAAAATACTGGCAAAACCCCATCCCTCTGGATTACTAAAGTGTAATTACGCTGCCGTAAGAGAGCCGCTGGAAGAAAACAAAGCATGGTGATAAGCTCACAAATGCTGCTACAAAAATCCCATATCAGTAATCTTAATTGGATGCATGCATTGACACGTTCTAATGTCACTGCCTGCACAAGCTTGGTTGCCTAGCTACAGTTATGTGCAGTAAAATAAATGCTATTTGAAAACCCAAGAGACTGGATGGCTCCCCCAAGAGCTGCTGCCAGAACATCTAGCATTCAAACAGCAGTAGAGAAGACATTATACAGAGATGGGGTAATGGCTTGGAATTGAAGCGGGGGTGACCAAGCATTCTTTATTGAGCTTCAAACATATTATCAGTATACAGAATAATGGTACTTTTTA